GTTGGTTTCTGTCCTATGACACAACTTTCTGATGGCAAACATGTTACAATTTTTGTTAAATACTGCCAAACTGGCACAGGGAACCCTGTGGGTCAAACAGATTCAGTGTGCCACTGGGGCTGCTGTTTTGTGAAAGGAATCACAATGAGATCTAGCTAGGATGACCCCAAGCACAGAATCTTGGCCTGGGAAGTGAGGTAACACCAGATGTTCGGTCTGGCACTACAGTTTAATACAGCGGCTGTCTTCCCACAGTGCTGCTGAGACAGGCCACTAGGTCTTTCCAGATTACTGGCCTTCAATCTCTCTCTCCCTGTATACTTTAAGCCCAATATATTTGCCTACCCTTGTTTTCTTAGCTGCCAGCATCAAAACCTGAGGCACCAGCCCAGGAGAGATCTGATTCTTGAGTTTTGGTACCAGCCCCTACCCCCACCCTGGAAATAGTTTCTGACCCTTCCTCAAGTAGCTCTGAGCAGCATGTATAACCTCTGTTTAATTTGGTTCTCACGCCATTTCTGTGAGGTAGGTTAGGCTGAGAGACAGTGACTGGCCTTGGTCGCCCAGTGAGCTTGTAGCCAAATGAAGGTTGCTGCCTTCAGTCTGGGTTGCTCTGTCCCCTTCATGGCTCTATTTTCCTTCTTCCTGCCGACCCATGATCCCTGAACCTCTGGTCCAGGTCTGTGTCTTCCCCACCCCTAACAGCAAATTACCCTTGGAGCTTTTTTAGCAAGAGTCCTTGTAGAAGCTCCCTCTAGGGCCCACTTCCTTTGTGGCTCTACTTGCAGACAATCTACTCAGTAGCCCGGAAACCAGACCCCAGTGCTGAGCTCCATAGGGTCCTGAGTGCAGCCCCAAGCTACACGTGCGGAGGATGAATGAGCAACAAGAATGGGAGGCAGTGGCCTGGATGGGAAGGAATCTGACAAGTCCATTTAGCACATGGCTCGTTCCTGAGGGACCAACCTGTTCCTGTGAGGCAGCCTCTCTTCCAGCTGCTGGCAGAATCCAGGGCAGCATTAATCAGCCAGCCTCTGCCATCCAGATAAGAGTTATGTCCCTTCTCGCAACCTCTTTCGCTGCTTTCCTCACACATTTGATCACCCACCCTCCACCCTCCTGTGACTGCTGTTCATGACTTGCGGCTGCACCCTTCCCCCTTCTGCGAATGCAGCAGCAGTTTCTCATTGCCCTGTGGTTTCTTTCAGCTTTGTCTTCCTTGATCGGGTTGTGGCACACTGGACAGCTCCCCAAAACAAGTGGAGGGGGAGCAGTAGGCCCGTGTTGAGGCAAAGATCATGTGGATGGGATCTAAAACTCCTGAGGGTTAGAAAGATCTGAGTCAGGCTTCCACAGTGAGGCAAGAACATCTCCCCCCCCCGTGGCACACTGGACAGCTCCCCAAAACAAGGGGAGGGGGAGCAGTAGGCCTGTGTTGAGGCAAAGATCATGTGGATGGGGTCTAAAACTCCCGAGGGTTAGTAAGATCTGGCTTCCACAATGAGGCAAGAACATCCCCCCCCCCAAATGCAACCTGCTCATTTAAATCTGTGTCTCCCCAGTCCTAAGTGGGCACTCTAGCCCACTACCCACGCCAAGAGCACGTGAGTTTCCCTGTTTCTAGTTTGCTTTGCTCTGCCCTCCTCCCTCTGTTTGCGTCTTCACTGGGTCAGGGACGCACACTCACACGAGTTTGGTGCTTTTCCACAGGCATTAGTAATGGTGCTACACTCTGTGTACTGCCATGGGCTTTCTTACTGTTGTATCCTTTCCTGAATAGCATGGGAAACTTTTGCATTTCACTGCCTCTTGGGGAGGGGGAGAAATAGTAGCCTAGGGATGGGCCACATGGCTGCATGTCGTTTTAGGAGAGCCATGAAAATCTGTGTAGTGTGTTTTTATCCCGTCTTTCCTCCCAGTTAGCGTATATTTATCCCTTCCGTATTTTTGTCCTTAAAACAGCCCTGCAAAGTAGGTTAATTAATTGGGAGGGGGGGACCATAAACCCACTTTTCTGGAAGTGCAGGCAAAGAAATAAACAGTCAAACTATCTATTAAAATATTGTTTTAAAAAATAGCATCCAACAATATCATCATATAGCCAGCAAAATACAGGACCACAACAGACTCCTAAAAATAATGGAACAACAAATCCCCAGTACAATAGTTATTCTGCACCCTCTTGCACAACACCAAATGCCTTCCTGAATAATTCAGTCTTGTATCCTCTCTGGAGCAACAATATGGTAGGCATCTTCCTCTTCACATCCAAGAAGCTATTCCATAAGGCATCGGCTGTGGCGGAAAATGCCTGCAAACGGGTAGCAGCTGAGTTCGCCTTAGTACATAGTGGGACTAATTCTGCTATGCAGAGTGGCATTATCCCATAGGATTATACCGTCATTGAGGGGGGTGTGTGTGTGTATGTGTGTCCCAGACTGTAAAAGGGTTTGATTATAAGCATTTGCATCTTGGACCCAGGAAGAAATTGGCAGTTTTGCAAGATTGTAAAATGGGAGTAATATGTTCCTGGCAGCTAATCTTAGATAACAAATGAGCCGCTGCATTTTGTACTAGCTGGAAGTTTCCAAGTAGTCTTCCAGAACAGCCCTACATACATTGTGTCAGAATAGTTGAACCTTGATGTTACTGTAATGTAGAACAGTGCAGCTGGGTCAGTTTGTCTCTGAGTAGGGGGTAGCTTTCAGGCGATTTTCAGATGGAAAAGTACATTTTTAACCCATCAATATATCTAATTCTTAACATGACCAAATCCAGATATTGGAGCCAGAAACAGACAAGACAGATCTTTCAATAAACCTGACAAAGCCCCAGGTTTGTAAAAAAAAAAAATTTGAAATCTAAATGCAAAGTCTATTGGGAAGTTAAAACCTACTAAAATAATAGAAGCAGCATCTGTAGCTTTAAGAAATGAATGCTCTCAATGCCCATGGCTAGGTAGCCATAACAGTATTTCATTTTCATTCTTTAGTTATGATCTAGAGATCAAACAGACCACAGCAGTATTGTCAGCCTTCAGTCCATAGTTCTGTCAGTAAAAGGCAGGGGGAGGATGGCCTGGGCTCTTTCCCCAGGCTGTCTTGGCCTTTGTCGGATGATTCATCCGAGCCGAGTTCAGCAGCCACTGAACGACTTGCTACCATGTGACATGCATGATTCACTGGGGCCCACTACTGTTCAACAGCCGCTGCCCCATGGAAGCCTATGTGGTGTAGTGGTTAGAGTTTCAGGTTAGGATCTAGGAGACTTGGGTTTGAATCCACAAGCTCACGGGGTGACCTTGGGCCAATCATACATTCACAGCTTAACCTACCTCACAGGGTTGTTGTGAGGATAAAATGGAGGAGAAGAGAATTATGTAAGCCACTTTGGATCCCTACTGTGAAGAAAGGTAAGGTATAAATTAAGTGAATAATAAATACGGTTACAGATGGGGTGCAATAAAAGTTTGGTTGGTTGGTGTGTGGAAGCAGTAAAAGGTGATGAGACGGGGATATCAGAAGGAAAAAAAGGAAATGTTGTAGGGAGGGAGATATGGGGGAATTGAGGTGTCCCCCACAAGTCCTTGAGGGTTTACCACCGTGGAACAGGGCCCAGCCCAGCCTGGCAGCCAAAATCACACAGAGTTTTCTAAGGGGAAAAGGAAGCAGGAAAAGGGGAGAGGCTATGAGTTATTTCAAGGAATGGAAAATTGAGGAGGAAGGGGAAATGGGATGCTCCCTGCAAGTCCTTCAGGTCCCCTGCTTGTATTCATTTAATAGCAAAGCAGGATCTGACAGATCTCCCAAGCCCTTAACTTAAATCTATCAGAGAAAGCTGCAGTACATCAGTTCCTCTGAAGGACAGATGCCTTACTGAGTAGTAGGTTTGCCAGCCTCCAGGTGGGGCCTGGGGACCTCCCGCTTTTACAGCTGATCTCCAGCTGACAGAGATCAGCTCCCCTGGAGAAAATGGCTGCTTTGAAGGGTGGACTCTATGGCATTGTACCCTGCTGAGGCCCCTCCCCTCCCCAAACCCTGCCCTCTCCTGGATCCATCCCCAAAGTCTCCAGGTATTTTTCAGCCCAGACCTGGCAACCCTACTGAGGTGCATCACCTCCATCTTACCAGGTTTCAGTTTTAGTTTACTCTCCTCTCGGCTAGGCTGTGTGTGTGTGTGGCTGGGCCAAGGTCACTGCACTAGATCCATGGCAGAGTGTGGATTTGATCCACGGTCTCCCAGTTCCTAACCTGGCCCTCAAACAACTGTACCACACCGTTTGTCCTCAGGAAGAAAGCCCCCCTGTATTTCTTCAGGTTCTTTGATCCGTTGGGTGTTGAGAGCTGCATTGTGCTTTTCGGAGCCACTGTAGAGACTTCTTCTTGTTATATTAACACGCTTAATCATTTTTAAATGATGTTTTGAATTGTTTTTATTGTAAACTGCTTTGGGGACAATTGTAGAATTGGGGACAATTGTAGAAATTCGGGTAGGGCAGAAATTCAGAAATAAATAACTGAACATACTCCCCAGGAGGCTTGCTGCCTTAGCTGTAGCTCCGTGAAAGAATGCATGGTTTACATGTGAAGGGTTTCTAATCCAATCCTTGCTACTGACAATTTTTAAAAATGTTCTGAGATGGATATCTGCCCTAGATCAGGAAGCTACTGAGAGAAGACCAGGCTAGACAGACTATAATTTGATGTGGTGTAAAGCATTTCCTTGTATCCTATGTCTAGCAAGCTCTTGGTGGTGGGGTCCGTATAGAAACATTGTTGGAATCCCTACAGATCTCTCCAATTTTGTACAAAAGATGAGCTGGGGAAATTTGAGTGTTTACTAGCAATCTGTGTGCAAGGTAGGGGTTGTGCCATTTCTAGCTTTATGGGTGGGTGGGAAGAAGGAGGAGGGAGAGAAATGGAATCGCTTTAGATGCTAACAGAGAGAGAAGAGCTTGGATAGATGAATGAAAGGCACTAATTTCCCCCTCTTTTTTTCAGGCTAGCCCTTCACCCATCATTGTGAATACAGATGCCCTGGAGCCAAGTCTGTCTGTAAGTATCCCCCTTGCTTTGTCCACAGGTGTCCCTGCTTACCCCTGCAGAGCTCTGCAAATGGCAGGAACTCTCCCTGCCTTGCACCCAATCCCACAATAATCTTTATGGAACCCAAGTCATAGCTCTATGAAATAGAGGAAGCGAAGGTTTAGTGGTGTGTCTGTGTGCAGGGTGGGGTGTCTTGCCACATCTTCCTTAGAGCAGGTTTGGAGTCTGTCCAAAATCTGCAGTAAGCCTGTGTAAGAAAGGGTGTGATCACGCTCCCTCAGGTGAGGGTACTCCAGTTCCACTTGCCATCAGCACCAATGTGTTACTGGGGTAGGGGGGCATGGCCGTGGCAAACCCCAGTTTGGCTAGTCTGTCTCCAGGATTCTGTGCATGCCGCTGTCCTGCATAGGTGCAGTTTACTTCCCGTGGCTCCTGGCCCTGCGGGTCTTCATCTCCTCCTTACATTCTGGTCCTCCAGTTATTGAAGGAGAACAAACTAAACAAGCTGCAAATGTGGTTAACATGAAGTATTTTTTTTTTCTTTTGAAGCAGAATTTGTAGTGAGGGAGGGAGGATGGGATTTATCCGACTCAAGCAGATATGGCTTTAACGGCTGTCTAGTTACCGCAATAAAGTTCCCTTAAAAGCGGCCCATGCAATTATTTGCTCTTTTCTAAAACTGATTAAAAATTATTCAGACCTTCCCACTCAACCCAGTGGCTCCTGGACCACGGCACTAAAAATCCAGACTAGTCTAGCAGGAGCACTTTGATCAGCAAGTCCTGGAAGGGTGCAGAATTTGTATGCATGTAGGGGTGGGGAGGTCTGTGGAGCAACACAGTTGTGATTGCACCACAAATTGTGGAACATAGTAACTAATCCAGAATCTATAAAAGGAATCAGTGCTATAGTGTCAATTCATCTAACCCATCTGTCTGCCTCCACAGGTGAATGGCAGTGACGGGATGTTCAAATACGAGGAGATTGTCTTGGAAAGGGTGAGTGAGCTGACTTGGGATGTCCTTTTGTTGAAAAGCAGAAACATTTTACCATCCATCCACATAGGCATGAACATTCTGGGTCTGTGTATTTGAGGGAGGGCTCATAGACAGAAAAGGATTTCTCAGATACACACACACGTTCATTGTGGGAATTGGAGGCCGGACCTTATGGTCTTGATCGTTGCTCCAAGGATATTATCTGGGGCTGTGCTCTTCAGTGCATGCTGGGAGAAATGGCCTTTTCTGTCAGGATTGCTGGCTAAATGAGGCTCTAGCTTTACACAGATAATTCCTTTATTTTAGCAAAACTTCCACATCCTCGAACTGTTGTATCACTTTCATTAGAAGAGGCCTGTCTGGTCCTGTGTAATCTGCCTTTGCATATCCATCTCTTTCCAGGGTAATTCTGGCCTCGGATTTAGCATTGCTGGGGGCATCGATAACCCACACATCCCTGATGATCCTGGCATTTTCATTACCAAAATTATCCCAGGTGGAGCAGCAGCCATGGATGGGCGGTTGGGGTGAGTGCCAAGGCAGAGCATAAGCCCTGAGCCCAGGGAACCCAGCAGAGTTACTAGATGGGGGGGAAAGACAGGAGAAAGTGGTGGGTGGGGCTGGGATGTACCTCTGAATTGTCATTGTTGGTTGTGTAGGCTCATCTGGATGCGGAACGCTGTAGAACCATTAAGGGGGTGCATGAGGGCAACTTTTTCTTTTGGCCTCGGACGGCTCAGGCTCCCTCACAGTCTTCTCTTTGCCTGTTCTGTATCTGGCACAGGGTGAATGACTGTGTACTGAGGGTGAATGAGGTAGATGTCTCCGAGGTAGTGCACAGCAAGGCTGTGGAGGCGCTGAAGGAGGCGGGGCCTGTGGTGCGGCTTCTTGTGCGGCGAAGGCAACCCCCACCAGAGACTATAATGGAGGTCAACTTGATGAAAGGACCTAAAGGTGATGCCCTGGACTTGAGGTCTTATTTGAGGTTGTTCCTTTCTTGCTTGGCTGGGGGTGGATAAACCTGGCAGGTTAGAGTCCTCGAGGCCACCATCATGAGATCAGACCAAAGCCTTCAAGATGGAAAGGAGATAATTGAGGGAGCACATGTGTGGCTGGTGGTTGAGAGGCCAGATAGAGCAGGATCAAAGGACAGGAGTAACACAGGCGTGAGACAGGATCAGGATGAAGGCTATTTGAAGACGAAGGAACGAAATCATGACAAAACAGCCACAACTTATGTAGCCCTGGTGTGTTGAGCTACCATCTGGGGGGTCAGATTGGGCTACGGGAAGAAACTCTCCAACAGGACTTTAAACTGATAATGCTGACCAGCTCCCAAGGGGACTATCAGGTCATGTTACTGCCCTTGGGTATGAGGCTGTCAAATCTTTTCCAAGCATGCTTCCAGGCCACTTTGGTCTTGGTAAGACTTGACAGGACCTGGGTGTGTGCGCATGTTGCAAGGTTGGAGCATAGGTGGTAATATCCATTCAGATTGATCCTCCTAAGCAAACCCTCCAGCCTAGAACTTGCTACCAGCAATGCTGTGGTGAAGCGCTCTAATCTGATCTTTTCTCTCCAGGATTGGGTTTCAGCATTGCTGGGGGCATTGGAAACCAACATATCCCAGGAGACAACAGCATCTATATCACCAAGATCATAGAAGGCGGGGCAGCCCAGAAAGATGGGCGGCTGCAGATTGGTGACCGGCTTCTTGCGGTGAGCATGTGACTAACTTTGCCAGGGCTTTAGGGTGGGCAGCACTGTGGACGTTGCCTGCTGTTAGCTGGAGACTGGAGACTGGGCATGTGCCCAGCTTTGGAGACCCTTGAGAGCACCCCAGAGTGTTGATGGACCCAGCTGTCTTTGGTCAGGATGTCAGTAGTGCCACACCTCCAGCATCTAAACCAGCTGATTGGCTACTTCTTCCCCTCCCTTCCCCATGCCTCATTCTCTTCAGGTGAACAACACCAACCTGCAGGATGTGCGGCACGAGGAGGCAGTGGCTGCGCTGAAGAACACCTCTGATATGGTGTACCTGAAGGTGGCCAAGCCAGGCAGTCCTCATCTCAATGACATGTATGCTCCGCCTGACTACGCCAGCAGTATGTATCTGCCTTTTGCCTGCTCCTTGCTCAGCTGGCATTGATTTTTGCTCTCCATAATTCTCATTAGTTCCCGGCAGTGCCTGTCCTGTCTTTGAGTTCTCAACTTTATCTGCCTGGCATTGAACAGTCCCTTGACCTGTCAGTTTTTCCCCTCTGCCATTGCCCATTTGGCACAAAAATATTTCAGTATTTTCCTGGGAAATGAACAAGCTTGACTGTGCTGGAATAACCCCAATTTCTCCACTTCTTCCCACCTTCCTATCTGTTAATTTCTGAAAAATGAAATGCTGGGGCTCCAAGCCTTGTCCTTTAACTTGGAAGCCCAGTCTTAAATGCCAGGGGCTAATTGTGGTTGTTCAGTGGTGAAGCAAAACCACTCACCATATGTTCAGAGGCATCCTTTTCTCCCATTCTTGTTACTTCAAATGTTTTAGGATTGAGCAGTAGTGCTGAGAAACTTTGGGGCTACTTCTTGTTGAATTCTAATACACATTAATCATGTCTGCTCTTCCTTAGTTGGGCCCTCTGGCCACAACTGCTCACTTTCCTATAGCTGTAGAAGAGAATACAAGGGAGAGGGGGGGGCACATGGTAGCCCCTGGCCTTGTTATCACTATATGTGGAGGAAAGAAGAGAGTGGAATGGGGATTTGAAGGCCAAGGGACTACCAGCTCTGTCTCACCTTCCATTCCCTTTGTCTCCATAGCCTTTTCTGCTTTGGCCGACAACCATATAAGCCATAATCCTGGTCTGGGCTACATGGGTGGCATGGAGAGCAAGCCAGCCTACCCTGCACCACCACAGGTCACACCTGCCCGATACTCGCCTGTGCCACGCCATATGATTGGTGATGAAGATTTCACCAGGTGAGCATCAATTGCAAATACCATTCCTCCATCTATGTCTCATCTCCATAAAAGCTGCAAGTTCACAACTGGAGGAGTCTAGCATGTTGCTTCCTCGGTGCCCTTTGGTGGGCATATGTGCCACATCTGCTGGCCTGGTTCATCTGCAAGCCTTGGCATGCAGAGACCTGCCCCGTGTGCTGTTTGCCCATCTCTCATTGCCTCTCCCAAAGCTTGGTGTTCTGACTCATCCTTCGGTGCTGTCTTGCCTCTCTCTGGCTAAACCGGCAATGCCAGGATGCAGGCAGCTGGCTGGGCCTGGGAATGGCTGTGGGGGTTACAGGAGGGACCCTGGTGAGCTGTGGATTACAGAACATGAAGCTCTAAGCATTTTAAACATTATGTGATTAAAAGGGGGGAGGGGAAATCAAAATTGGGTGCACCTCACATTGTTCATCAAGAAGAGCTGCATTTTGTGGCCTGCATACCTTTAGTGTGTATAAAGTCCTACTCTTCTGGCCCGAAGGAAGAGAAAGCATGCTGAAGCCCCCTGCCCCTCCCACCGAAGATTCTGCGGAGCCTCTCTTCGGAGTTCCATCTCTTATTTGTGATAGCAACACTAATAATTAGTATTTAAAATGTACATTACTGTGTTAATCTTTCACAAGAATGCTGTAAAGTAGGCTATGGTTATCGTTCCTATATTGTAGATAAAGGGTATTCGGGGTGCTGAAGCTGAGACAGAGAGCAGCTTTTCTAAGCTTCCCCTGCACCTCTCACTGAGGTCATGGCTGAGGTGAGATTTGAACCAAAGAGCTCTGAATTGGCCTGTCGTGTGTCATTGGCTGTAGTGGTTGCTGTCATGGTGTGCGAAAACGAAAAGGAATCTCGTCGCACCTTAGCAGATTTCATGGAGCACAAGCTTTGAGGGCCATTGGAGCTTCAGGTGCATGAAGTGAGCTCTAGCCCACTTCATCTGTCTGAAAAAACAAAATGAAGAAGATATCTATCTGTGTGATGAAGGAGGTTCTCATCCACAAAAGCTTCTGCTACACAAAACCGGCCAGTCTTGAAGATGCTGCAAGACTCCTTGTTTTTGCTGCAACAGGCAAACACAGCTACCCCACTAGAATCTGTGACAATGTAGGTGAAGTGCTTTGGGCATATCTAGATAAATACTATGATGCGGATCATGATATACTGCCAGGCATGTGTATGACCCAACAATATGCTAGGTACTTTACAGAGCCCAGAGGTGTAAAGGCTCTTTCACAAGGTTCACAAGAGATGGATAAGACCAGGGGCATGTGGGTAGAAAAGAACTTGGGACTGACAGCGGGGATGAGAGAACCATGGCCACGAAGGAATCAGTAAGGGGAAATTCTGGAATTAGAAATGGTTCTGTTAAGTAAAAGGATTTAGAGGAGTAGAGGGAGGCAAAACATTATGTGAGGGACAAACCCGGAAATATCAGGGCATCATGCATCCTTCTTTGTGTTTCTCTGTTCCACAACCTCAAGACTGTATAGTAGTGCCCAGCAGTAGCCACAAGGGGGCATTGTGGCACTTACTGGGCGATCCAGAGGAAAGACTGGGAACAGAGGCATTTGCACCTTGTCATGACCCTAAAGTACCTGGGCTTCTGGCCAGGGAGCTGAAGCTTGTTTTCCATTTGGAGGCAGGAGAAATTAGCCTGGGCTCCCAAGCACAAGAAAGTGGTAATCCAGGGAACCGATTCACAATAATTGTCAGTTTTGTGGGCTGCACAAGCAATTCTGTCTGCACACCAAATCCCGGACAAGTTACATGCCTGTTAATGGAGCCTTGGTCCCCTTCTGTAGCATTTGGATAAACAAGTATTAAATAGAATGGCATGAGTTTTTCTCAGCTGCAGCAGTAGGAGTGCTGTGGACATGCTTCCAGTGGGTGGGCACAGGGCAAGGGATTTATTAAGCATACTATCAGAACCTCTCCACCTGTTTGGTCTTCTACATGGCACAAGAGCTGTTGGGGAGGGAAGGGTTAAGGTCTCCTGGCAGGCCTTTTTCAGTCCTGCCAGTGCTGAGTCTGGTTCATCTCAACATTTCCTTGACGGCTCCTGCAGCCCCACAGCGAGGCGGGGCGGGGGGGGAGGGCCAAGAGAAGCTGAGATAAAATATCAGCTGCACAGCCCTTTCCATCACAGTCAGGCACAGGGGTGAAGCTGCCACCATGATCACAGTCAACGTCTCGTCCTCCATGTCGTATGGGAGGTGCCCTGCTGCCAGCCTTTCCAGAAAGCAACCCGCTTCCAGGCACAAAAAGGAGATCAGGTATTATGGCTCCCATGGTTGGTCTTAGGGGTCTGCGATGCCCCTCTTTCAGCAGGGTCTGGCCCAAGACTGGGCTAGTAGCCCCTGTAGTGAGTTAGATGCTCCTGGGGCATAAGGCTACCTCCTCAGTAAGGCTTGAGGCTTCCAGCAGAAGATCCGGGTACCTGCAATGTGGAGTTGGATGGACAGATTCCCAGTATTGCATGTGCTGGGAAGCTTCTCCTCCTCCACCACCTTCAGATGGTCAGATGACAAAAGATAACGAGCTAGTGAGCTATGGGGATGAGAGCAGGAAGGCTTCCTGCTTCAGGGCAAGGGAATGATGGTAGCATGGGTATGGTAGGGCTGATCTTTGTGTAACACTTCCTTGGAGCAGGATGAAGAGGTGGATGGCAGTTCTCAACCCACTGCTTGTGTGTTGCTTTTCGTTCACTGGAAAAGATCAGAAAGGGCTAAGGAGAACAGATTGGGTTTTTTTTTTCAAATTCTCTTACAGACTGACAGTGGTGGTGGTTTTCAAAACAAGGGAGCGATGGCTTTTTCCTCTCTTGCCTCCAGCTCCAAAAGGACTCCGCCTAGTAGCTATTAGTCAGTAATTTCCCTCCACTTTGAAACTATCCCTAGACACAGCAGCTTCCCTACCCTGTCTGGCTCCTTTCCTGTCCCTCTGGCCAGCAGAGGCAGAATTTATTCTGCAAGACAAACAACAGTTTAGAAATCTGCATTATGTATTCAGGGCACAGAATCCAATTTTTCTTGGCGCATGAGTACTTTGGAAAGAAGTGTAGACTGCACACATCACAAGGGGTACAGAAATACAGGATCACAAGGTCTGTGCCCATAAAAAAAAGAGCATTTGCCAGCTCCAGCGTGGGGTCCATATCCTAATCTTGCCTGAGGATGCATAATGCCCTCTGATCAAGGCAGAGAGATAGGACCTGGTATTCCATCAAATGTGCAGCCTGGACCACTGCAGTGGCAAGACTCCCAGCTTACCTACAGCATTGCACAGTTCATTTTCCATACTAGGAATCTGTGTGCTGTCCCAAAGCCACATTCACCCCCAATCTGAAGCTAGGCTTACACTCATACCAGTAGTTCCAAGGAGCATCTGGAGTCCCTCCTTGCGTGATGTGTACCCTGTACTGGAAGATAGGTCATCCGCAAGGGGAAAGTGTGTTGAGTCTCCCTGGTCACAGCTGTGGGCCAGAGGAGCCTTCAGGTTTGCCCCAACTGGCTGGGCTGATCTCTTCATGTCTTTTGTTTGTCCTTTCAGGGAACCCCGGAAGATTACCTTGCACAAGGGTTCCACAGGTTTGGGCTTCAACATTGTGGGTGGTGAGGATGGCGAGGGCATCTTTGTCTCCTTCATCCTGGCTGGTGGTCCTGCTGACCTGAGTGGAGAGCTGCGGCGTGGAGACCGAATTCTCTCGGTGAGTATGTGCAACCATGTTTCCTTGTCTCCCCACCCCAGGGATGCAAGTGAGACGTTGTTCTCCTTTCAGAGGCTGTATAGGCAGAGGTGTGAAAATGTGACCTTGATACAGCAGTGGCAGGAAAGGGGTCCACATATACCGATTCCCATTTTGCTCACTGCTGCTGCCATCCGCATCTATCACATCTGTACAAAAAGCACAGATGTGGCAATTTCGGTCCTCTTTGCCTTGGCCCAGAGCCCCGCCTTTTTCCTCTGTTTCATTTTCCCTGCTAAGCCATCTCAGCTGGAAAAGTGAAAAAAACAACAGCATAACCTTTAAAGGGCTAAAAATGGGGGGGGGGAGGTTGGCACACAGAAGTAAGCTGCCCTGTGCCATTCTGAAAGCAGAGCTTAGCTCTGGCCACTACCCATAGTGGCTATAGGTAGAGTTTCCCAATAGACACTTCAGCTGCATCCACCCTGCAATTTCCCCTTTAAACCATAGAAAATGAGTTTTTTATTTTCTCTGGATTAAAAGGAGAAAAAAGGGCACAATATGTGGATGCTCCCATTTACTGCAGGGGCTTTCCACTGCATATGTGGAAGTAGTGAAGATTATTGATGGGTGCGTGCGTGTGGGGTCTGTTTGCAGCCACATCTCCCAGGGTTACAACTCTGGTATTAGGTACAATTGAAGCTGACGTCGCAGAATCACTGCCTCCCCCATCTTCTAGTCATTCTTGGAGAAGGCCGGATTGGAGAGATTACACCCCAGGCACTAAGGTGTTAACCCGCTTTGCCCACATTGAGCAGCTCACCCAACCGGTCTGGGTAAGCCCAGCCCAGGGTGGTGGAAGCTGTTTCCTCTGCCAGAAAAAAAAAGCCGAATCTCCCGGCTGACTGTAAAGGGAATTTGCCCCAGAGCGCACAGTGCTTGCTCCTTAAATGCACCGATGGAGGAAGCCAGCTCAGATCCTCCCTTCCAGGAAGAGGCAGCTGCACTCTGCAATCGGGTGTGTGGCTCTTGCTTCCTGATAGGCTTTGGCATTTCTCTGGACACTTGGGTGTCTGACGTAACTTGCTCTGGCATGTGGGATAACAGCTGTGGCTTGCGACTCTGAGGCATCAACAGTTGGCGTGGCCATGGTAGGATAGTACAGAGAGAGATGGTCTTTTATAGTGGGGAATAAGTGTACAATGCCATCCTAGGGAAGGTGGTACCCGTTCAATGGCTGATGGGGGTGAGGTCTGTTTGCCCAGGTGAATGGTGTCAACCTTCGGAATGCAACGCATGAGCAAGCGGCGGCAGCACTGAAGAGGGCTGGGCAGACGGTCACTATCGTGGCTCAATACAGGCCTGAAGGTATGCAACCCTAAAAGGGAGTCTTATATACCTTTTACCAGAGCGTTCCCTTCTGTGAACTGGGGTCTCTCCTTGAGTCAGTTGTTGGGGGCAAGGCAAGTTCCGCTGGAGTTCTGATGAGAGAGAAATCCTTTTAAGGGGGAGAGCGTTGCCTTTCTTGCTTGCCAAGTAGGTGGAGTTTGGCCAAAGATGTGAGACAAGGTAGTCAAAAGCCAGGCCTGGCATCACAGGCAAGACGAAGCTTGACATAAGCACATTTCAGAGAGGACAAATTCCACCCCGGAACTTTGCAAAGGTCAAATGCTTGACAGCAGTAGGAGCAAGCAGAACTGGTTATATCACCATGGGGTGGAAACGGAAATTCAGTCTGCAGCCAGGCTGCTTGTTGCTGGCTTCCAAACAGGATTTTTATGCTGACCATACCGGACGCCTTGCTTATTATCATCTCCTGCCACATTCTTCTTTGTCAGGAACTCTGAGGCTTCCTCCTGGCATGCCTCTGCTGCACTATCAGGGAACCTAGAGCCACTTGGAACACATTTTCACTCCTGTTCTTTGGCAGTATGTATGAACTTTGCATTATGTGAGGGATAGGGAGGGGTCTTGCTGCAAAAGCCTGGTATAGGATGACCGGATGGCACAGGTCCTGGAAGCAGTGGGTTCAGTCCCAGCCTGTTGCTGTTGGGCTATATGACATGTTTGGCTGTTTGAGATAGCTTCTTTGCCATTTACACCAGCAGGGTATTATTTCCCCTTGTAGAATTATAAAGCACTTTCATGCTAAAATCTGTATAGGAAATATGAATAGGAGCAGTAATAATCCTGCTGGCTTGTTTTGGGTAGGTGTTGGCATCTGAACCCACTTGTTTTGTTGGTGCTTCACAAACTAAAGATTGTTGTCCTTTTGCGCTTGTCTTGGAATGATCTGCACAGGTTTTCTATGGCAGTCATGGTCTGAATAACTTGTGAGGCAGAGAGAAGGGTTTTCACTTTTCCCCTACTCAGGGCTATTGTGCGTAGATAGGTAGGCATTAAACAAAGAGCAGCTTTTCACGTTGCTGCACCTGTTGCATTTGTGCTTGTAGTTTAAACTGTCCAAGGCTCAGGCCTCCTGTGAGGAAAAGGATTTGATAACCCCTGGTGCCATCTGAATGCATTTAACACGTGTTGGAATTCGTTTGTCTCATTCTCGTGGGCGGTAGTTATGGTGTGAGGACCGATATGTAACTAGAGCTTGTTGTGATCGGTGGTGCATTTACAGAGAGAGCTATAGGGATTATTCGCTGAGGGGACGGGGGGGGGGCAGGCGTGAACAATGTCATGCGAAGTCCTGCCCTTTACACAGAAATGGTAGGGGGGGGGGGAGGCCCAAGTTGGAGAAACGCAGGGGCGACTGGGTTGAAGGGGTATTTGTGGGCCTGCGGTGTGTGAAAGCCGCGCAGGCCACAGTTGGGTCATTGTGGTTTTGGAGGCGGATACTGGGCGAAGGGAATGCGGGCGCTCCCTGAGCGGAGAGGCATTGCTCCGAAAAGGAGGTGCCGGTAATGAGCGGACGGAGGCGGGGCTAGAGTAGAGAGGGTTCAGCATGTCCAAGGCAGCGCGGGCGGTGGTGATGATGGGGGCGGGAGATTAGCTTGCCGTAGCGTGGATTCTGATTGAACGAGTACCAAGAGAAGGCGGGCGCCTGGCTGAGGGAGCCCGTAGCGATTGGGCGAAGTCGAGTCTGGAGGGGCGGTACTGGGTGGCCTGAGGGGGGGGGGAGGGCGTGCTGGAGGCGATTGGCGAGCGCCGGCTGTGGGGGCGGTGCTGTGGCCTTCCCGCCCGTGTGGGTGCCGTGGCTTTGTGTGGCGAGGGGGTTGGCCGGCCGGCAGGATGGGTGAGGGGAGGAGCCGCCAGGGCTACCCTTGAGCCGAGCAGGCGCCAGGTGAGGGTCGGGGATCGGGATGGAAGGAACAGGACACGCCACGGGCGTGGGTAGGAGGGACCCCTCCCGGCAGATCCCGAGGCGCGTCGGGAGCCCCTTCTCCGTGGGGGGTTGCTGCTGAGCGGCCGGCCAGGCGCGCCCCCTTCCCCCCCTCTCCGGAGTGGTGTGGGAGCGGCTGTGGGGAGGTAGGCCGCCGGTCGATTTCGAGGATCAGGCCCTCCTGCTAGCACTTGTTGCAGGACTCAGGGGCGCCTTCTTCGACGGTGGTGCGGGTTTCCTTGTGCCTCCAGAGGGTCGGTGGGGTGCCAGGGGGTGGAAGGTAGGTAGCCCCGTGGTTCAGATGCTCTCTCGGGGGCCCTTGACTGTTGGACAGAAGGGGTTTTCTCGTCTTGGGTCCTGCCTTGTCCACGAAGGACCGCCCTTCCGAGTATAAGAAGGGCAGGTGTCGGAAGAGGGGGCGGCGCCGTGCCGTGACCGGATTTGCACCGATCCCGGCGGCTGCTTACGCTTCCTTCCTTCTGAGGCGGTGGTAGAGTATCAGCCGCTGGCCCTAGGTTTGATCTAAACGAGTGTCTGGCCCTTGCAAGTAGAAATGGGCCACCTGTCTAGAAATAGGGGCTTGCTTGCTCCAGGGAGGCACAGGTGATCGCTGCGTAGTGGCTTAACCTCCACTGGTGAAAACCAGCTGCTGCTAGGTATGAGTGGTTAGGAACTGAGAGGGTGGTTGGATCAGCCACGGGTCTCTCTGTTGCAACATAAAACTGAATGTGTGCTTTAAGGTAGCATGTTTTCTGAAGATGGGGGGTGGCGAACAGAGCTGGCCCTACTAGGCTGATTGGCAGCTGCCAAGGTAACTAATCCAAAGAATCTCTGGTGGGGAAACTTGAACAGTTGGGCTTTGCTGTGTCTGAGCTTTGCCTGTCAGTAGCTACTGTTAGTTATTTGATGAAGAGTTTAGCGGTTTAAATTGGTACTCACTGAGGGGAGTTGCCTGGTGTGACCTCACTGACATTGTCACAAGTACAAGGTGTTTCAGTATGTACAGGTCTTGCCAATTTTTGAACTGTTTTTCATTCAAGCATACTTTTTTGAGGGTGTGGAAGAAATTCTGCCAGAGCAGCAGGCACACCTGATAAGGAAACAGGAAGATGGAACGGGAGAACCTCCAGTCAGAGCCTTTGGTTGCTTCTGTGTGGGCCATTGTGTCTAGTTATCAGTCAGTGCAGAAAGGAAAGTTGGTTTCAGGGTCTATTTGCAAAGTGAGATTTACAAAAGTAGCCTGAGCCATGCTGGAGGTTGGGCAGTTGTATTCAAAAAAAGCAAAGCTGTTGCTCTATCAGCAGGTGCTGGGGAAATGTTGGACATCACACTGGACCTTGCAATATTTGGTCCTCTTGAACTGTTTAGCATATATAAATGACAATGCCACTAGTTCCTAGGCTCAGTGTGGAAAGGAGTATTTGTTGTTTTTTAATACTCTGAAGGGAACAGTGCCAGAGGCATTTGAGAAAAGTCAGAAGCCACAGAGCCAGGTATGCAAATATTCAGGACCTCCTTAAGCTATTCTGTGGCGAACATGGAATTTCTTGGGTGGTGGATACCTGTCTAAATTAGAACCTCAAACTGAAAAACCTCTGAAGCAGCCCTAAACTAAAAAGGCTCTGGAGCAGCCTTGTGCGCATAGGTTCAGATGGCAGAGCTCAAGGAATTATTAATTACTCCAGGCTATGTGTTTTTGGGGCTAAGAGCAAGCTGGATAAAGTTCTGTGTACTGGCAGCTTTCAAAGTTGGATGGAGCAAAAATCTGAATATCTCTTTTCTGTAGTTATATGGTGTTTGTTCCTTCAGTGGTTTAGAGTGCCTACATTTCTCTAGTTTCTAGCTGTATCTGAAGAAGTGAGCAGTGACTCACGAAAGCTCATACCCTACCACAAATTTTTGTTAGTCTTTAAGGTGCTACTGGACTCTTACTCCTTTCCACTGCTACATTTCTCTAAGCACTCAAATTAGAAAAACTAAGAGAAGCACTTGAGCAGTGACCAGCGTCATAGCTGAAGAGCAGAAAATAATGAAGTTACAGAGAGCAAAATAACTTGATGCACAACATAAATGCTGCCTAGTGGAAGAATCAGTGTGAAGTCCAGCACAGCGGAATAATAGAGGTGTTTTATATTCTTGTCCACATTTGCTTGCATCTGAAGGAAGCTACTTTTCAGTAAAAGAGAACATGCTGCCATAGATACTACCATAACTTCTAGCAGGTCTTGATGTTTTCTTTGGATCTCAAGGCCAGCCCAGAAGTTTGAGTTAGACTTATTTTTCCGTCTTTGGGGGTTCTCTGTTTTCTAATTACTGCTACAATAAAATCTAACCCTGATTTTTATTCAGTTTCTTATAATTTTATTAATGCAATCACAAAAATGTTGTAGTAGATAAATTATAGGGGTAACCCTGATTAGTCTCACTGCAGCAAAAGTATAACCCTAACTAAATTGCCCTTAGTTTCTTTTAATTTCATTATTACTTTAAACAAAAAACCCACTATTTAATATTGGAGCCAGTACGGAGAAAACTGCTTAAGAAGCGAGTTCATTTGCTGTCATTGTATGATGTAAGTTAACATTTATGTATAACCAAGCAGTGACAAGACAGGATAATGTGCATTTATTTTTTTCATTCAACAACATATTCTTGATGTGAAATTTGTATACTTGCTGAGGAATGCTACAACACAATGGTTGTTGAAAGTACTAGGCATCACAATGAAATCACTAAGCACCATGGCAGCCTTGTTCCTGGGATTTGTTGCCCCTGGTTTCTTACTCTGTTTTGTTTTCCCCCATATAAGACTGAACTAAACAATTCCTTTCAATCTGAAGTGTTACCTCTATCTGGCAGTAATAACCTAATTCCTGTAGAAATGCTAACGACTTCATGGAGAAAGCAGAGCTTTTATCGTTCTCTTCACTCAGGCTAAGCATCATGCACATAGAAGCTTAGCTATTTGGTACGGAATGCTCATTCTGATGCCTCTGTGGGACCATCTGCCCTTCTAGATGTGGCTGGGATTTACTTA